ATCCTTTATATTTCCGGGCCCAAGTGAACATGTACTACGAGACTAGAGTCCTTCATTCGCTCATGTAACGCTTAATAGGAAATTTTAGTTTTTCAGACGTACCATTAGGGTTACAGTTTGAGTTTGTGATTTGTTTGAGATTTTCCACAACAAGAAGTGAGATATCATTTCATATCTTATTGCAATTATAATGACGCTATAAAATTACCAAAACATGTAATAAAACTCAATAGGTCATGTTACAAAGAGGTTTGTGGTGAGCTGACAGTTTATAGATTTAGACCTAAATTCTAGTATGTCATAGGTTCCAAGATGAACGAGCTGTGCAACAACTTGAAAACCAATGGAGAAGCGATCAAGGTCATGAAAAAATTCTTCAAGAGGCTTTGCATTTGTTTTACGAGAAATGGGAAAGATGATCAAGTTTAATGGGCCTTGGAAATTATTATCTTCTAGTCCAAGATGGAGAAATTTTGAAACTGAAGTCCTACTAGGAGGAGCACCATCAAAAAGAACAAAAACAGGTTCTAGATACACAACTTCTTCCTATGTTCGTGTCGGACTATATTTAAATGATAACGATGAGCTTGATCTAGAAGAAATTATCCGACCGATAGGTAAAGACAAAGCAAAAAAGAAAGAGGAATGAATCTTCTTCTAATGCAATAGATTTCGGCAACGAAGCAAAACAAATGGGAGAATGATGGATATATTTTTTTGGTACAATCTGAATTTTACTTAATTTTGGCTTTTGATAAGGAAAAATTGGCCAAAAAATAAAATGAAAAGAAAAGAAATAGAAGATATGCAATTATTGATTCAAAAGACCGAGAATCTTTTGGGATAGACCCTAAAATTAGTTTTGAGGATGGGAGAGAAGATCATGAAAAAAAATATTTTCTCTAGATTATTTCATGTTTTTTAAATCATGATTGTTTTTTAATCTAGCTTGTCCTTTTTTGTAATTTCTAATTAAAATTTATAGGTTTTTTATGTACTTTTTATTTGAAGTATTTAAGTATTTTAATTAATATTTGTGTTTATTAATCATTTTTTAATTAATTCTATTTATTTTTTAAATTATAAACTTTAAAATTAAATTATTTTTATTTTTAAAAAATAAAAGTGAAATGCAACTACTTCCTAGGTTTTTGTAAGTGAAAGATGAATGAACGGAATACTAACATAAAAAGAAAAAATGATATGTGAAAAGTTAATACACCTTATGGTCTAAGCCTCAAGACGTGAATATTTATGCATATTATTTTCCATTTAAACAATTAATTGAAGTTTTGGCATAATAATCATACTATATTATATATTATTATATATGAGTTGTTTTTTATCACCATATAAATTTTGAAACTCAAGGACCTTTCAATTTCAATCTTAATCTAGTTTATCTATTAGTTTAAAATATGTTATTAAATGTAAAATATTATCTTATTATTGATTAAGGTTTATAATGATTGTTATGATACATTTATTTGTTAATTTAAATATTATGTTAAATCCAAAAACATAAAATCAACTTAAAAATATATTCAAGTATTATTTTCCAAAATATTTAAAAATGTTTAAATATTGTAAATATATAACAAGTCAAACTAAATAAAAAATTATCAAAAAAAATATTTTTGATTATAATTTTTTTAATTAAGTTGTTTTTAATTAACAGAAAAAATATATTATGTTAGATTGGAATAGTAAATTTAAAAACATGTTTAGTTTTATTAAATAAAATCTATGAATAGATACTATCGAATGATATTAGTCTGATAGATGTATATTGTATAATCTGGTTCAAAATAATTACAAGCTTAAGGTCGGTCCTGAAAAATAAAATATTCTTAAAGGTCCAGAACGAACAAGAAAAAAAGGACCGTTATCTTTATTATAATTTTATAATTTTAAATAAATATATATAATGAAAAAAATTTAGCCTTATGCAGCTGTCCATTTTGCCCCCCTCTAAGCTCGCATGTATATAGTATAATATTTTTTAATATGTACATAATTTTTTTAGATATATAGTTTTATTTTATGCAATTTGTGAATATTCACCTGGAGATTAATTAAATAAAGAAGATGGATATGTTTTTCATATTAATATATTTATAGTAAAGTGTTGAATCATCTCATAACCTATAATTGATTTTAATTTTATTATGTAATTAAAATATAAAATTTGAACAATGAAATAATGAAATCACATTTCCATGGAAATTTCATTTGTATAATCCTACCTAATAAATAAAGAATTTTTGACACATGTCCTCTTTTCCATCATTTGAACACATGATATTTTCTAAAATTTTTAAATTTTCTATTTTCCACTTGTCATTTTATTGTATTTTTCATTTTATTAAATTAAAATTGCACATTTAATATGTAAGGTAATATATATGTAAAATGTTTATTAGAAGAGATTTATATATGTAATGTATTCAATACATTAAAACCTCATTAATTTTAATAATTCAAAATTTTTCTTATTTTTCTTATAAATTCAAAATTTTCAAATTATTAAAATTTTATATATATTTTTTAAATAAACTCATGTAATATACAGATCTCACATATAATTATTGTTAATATTTGATTTATGGTAATATCATAATATAAATTTATATGAAAATGTTAATATAGAGGTCTCAAGTCTCAACGCCAAGCGTCCAACGATAGTAACCAGCCTTAAGATGAGTTTGGGTCAAAACTATTAACTTTGTTATATGGGCCTAGTTTTGTTGGCCTACCAATATTTTTCATCAATTTCTTCAATTTTTACTTTTATTTAGACTAATTAAATTATTAAAATATTAAATTTACAGAAATGATCCTTCAGATTTAGTAAAAATTTCATTTTTTTTTAATTTCTTTTTTCTCTTCATAAACCGTCTTTATAATGTCATTTTGTTATAGTTTTGATGCTCTTATCAATTTTAATAGAAGGGCATTTGGTTTACAGTGACTAATTTATTCATTCTGTCATTTTTTTCCACTTTCTATTATTCTTATTTTGTTATTTTTACTATCAATAAATAAAAAGCTCACCATAAAAACATAATTTTCATTTTCTAGTGCTCTTATCCGATTTATCTTCTCATCTTCTAACTCTTACATAGTTTCTCTAACACTCTTATCTGATTTCTTCTCCGGTATTCTCACTCTTATACCATATTTTAGTCATTTTCACTATTGTTTTCATTCAATGTCCATGATCTTAAATTTTTTGGGTCTAAATCTTACGATCCTAAAACCAAAGTAAAATACATAATCAAGAATTACCAAGCTTTTTATTTTGAATCTGGAATCTGTGAAGTTTTTACTAGGTTTATAGTTTGAATACGACGAATTGTATATTTATTTAGGTTTTGATTTTCTTCACACTTAGCATAATGGTTGAAGCTTTGTCCTCACCACTATGCATCGATGAAGAATAGTCATCTACCATTATCGTCCATCATAATTCTACGTGCTTAATGCAAACAAAGTGTTATTGACGTTAACAAAATTCGTAGAATTAGGAGCGATGTTAGGTGTTCAACACAAACTCTCAATCCAACTTCATCTTCTGCTAAATCCTCACGCTTGCACAACTGAAAATTCGATTAGGTTTTGTTTTCAAACCAAATAACCTATAGTGCTAGCAACTTTCGAACATAATTAAGGAAACATTATTATTCCATCTTTTGACCTCTATCCTATCACGAAAATATGAACCATTACCTAGACCAAATATCTAGACCGGCTTGCGACTTGTGAGTATAAGATCGCTTCAGTCCTCATTCTTTTTTTAAAATCGGTTTTGGATCGTCCAAAATGTATAAATCTACTGCTCAGAAAGTTTCCAGACATGAATTACTTATGTTAAGTAGAAACATGAGGAGGGAATTATTTGGTAAGACAAATCGAATTAACAATATATTTTTAGAATTAATATCGATGTTAGTATTTTCAGATATTTTAGTTTGATTAATGTTTAATTGGTTATCAATTAAAACCAAAACCGATCCATTCATTATGTTATCAAAAAAGAAAATCTAAACCAATCGTTCTAATATTGATCCAGTTAAATTGGTTCTAACGGTTATTATGCTTATGTTAACTAGGTGTTTATCGCAGGGCCAACTCATGCTTGTAAAATTCTAAGCTATGGTTTAGGGTTCCAATTCTAAGGGACCCTATATTGTCCAAACTTAACCTAATATATCTCAAATCTCAGTTATTGAATTAGTCCATTAGTAATTGTCTTATTGTTCGATAGATCGCAATCCACAATTTCAATCCGTCATCACAGTGAGTGGCAGAGCGGAGCGCATGCGGTAGGAGACAAGAGTGCAAAGATCTTGATTCTTAAAAACTAAAACGACATTTATCTTCTATTCTTCATTCTCATTTCTTTATTGTTCAAACCATTATTTCTAAGAGGTGTTTGTTTTAACTTTTAAAATGACTTTTACTTTTTTAGAAAAAAATCAAAAAGATGTTTGTTTAAGTGAAAAAGACTTTTGGAAATGACTTTTTCAATAGAGTAAATTGAGCCTTTTTGAAAAGTCACGATTATGTGATTTTTCCCAACTTTCCAAAAGTAAAAATATTAAATTACCAATATACCCCCATCTATCATCATCAATTCTTCATTCCCTACTCTCTCCTAAAAGTTAACCAAAACACTTTAACTTTTGATATTTTCCTTTCAAAAACTAATCCAAATACATTTTAAAAAACAACTTTTGTAAAAAGTTCTTTTACAAAAAGTTTATTCACAAAAAAGACTTTTACCCTACAAAAGCTAAATCAAACACCCTCTAAATTGTTTCTAGAATTTCATTATCTATTACTTTATTAGGATCATCCGATTAGGGATAAAGAATGAGGGTTTATAACATTAAGTATACTAAATTCGAAAAGGCCTTATATTTTTTGTTCGTTTAGAACCCCAAATTAGTTGAGCCGCAAAGTTATGGTTGGTATGCATAAACTAATGAACTTCAATTGGTTGGTATGCATAAACTAATGAACTTCAATTATCATTGGTATGCCTCATACACGTTTACACCTAAATAACATTTCCATTGGTTGAAATATTCAATGATGGTGCCTCCATTTGCATTTTCAAAATACAATAATGCTTCTTTAATAATAAAAATAAAAAAATTACAAATGTTCATAAAAATTTCAATTAAATTCCAACCAATACCATCTCTATCATGATCATTTGTTCTGCGGCCTCTTCCACAACACTCCAATCCTTCTAAGCATATTACCATCTTTCCTCTTCATAAACTCATCATCATCATCATCATCAATCTCTACACTACCAGGTGAACACATGTTCAACCTCTTCCTAGGGCTAAAATGGCCCATCGACCATGTTCTCTCCTCCAGCATCCGCCCATTGTTATCACTGCTCTTATCACAAAGCATATCAGTAGCCGCCTCCGCCGCCTTCCGCCATTGACTCATCTGTACTTTCAGCCTTCTCAACTCTTCTTCCATTTCACAGTTGCTCATCTTCACAGCCTCTAATCGTTCTGTCACATTTACAACTTCATCTTTGTTCTTCTTCATTGCCTCCGTTGAGCTTTTCATTTTCTTGATTTCCAGTTTCAGCATCTCGTTTTCATCGCACTTTTCGCTTAATTCCGTCTCTAAACTCGTCAATTTCAACTTTAAACTCTCGAATTCTTGTTTAGACTCGTTTCCCACCTCGTTTTCTCGCAAGTTTTTCAGTTTCGCATTCAGATTTTCGTTCTCCTCAAGAATACATTGCAATTCGGTTTCTTTATCCATCAAACTCGCCCTCAACTCATCAACATCTTCTTTCGACTTCCTCAATTCGCCACTAATCTCCCATGCTTGACGAGATTTCAAATTTTCGAGTTCAGCTTTCAAATCAGTAATCTCTTTGGATTCACTTTGTTTCTCTTTTACATTCATTTCTTCAATAATCGATTCTAACGAACTTACGCGTTCTCTAGATTGCTGTAGCTCCGAAACAATAGCGTTGTAATCATCACTGTTTGTCTTTAATGACTCCATTGTTTTTTTTGCTGTTTCGAGTTGTCGTAAAGTTTCGCTAGCTAAAGTATGGGCCTTAGACTCTGAACTTCTGGAATCGTCAAGTTGGTTCTTCATTTCCTCCATGATCGAAACCTGTTGAGCCATATTCTCTTTCAAGACACGTATCTCCTCGTATGCCGATAGATAGTTCGACTTCAAAATTTTTCCAAAATACGAAAATATTATGGTTAGAAGTGAAAGGAGAGCGATTGCATGAACGTAGTTTACAAAAAGAAAGGGAGCTTACATGGGTTTCATGGAAAGAAGACAAAGCCAAGAGCTTTTGAGACTCTTCAAGTTTTAAAGTTATGGCTAAAAGCTCTTTCCTCGACTCTTCTGCGTCTAACTTGGCTTGTTTTTTCCATGATTCAGACACAATTAGTTGATCTTTAACAGTTCTTAAAGCATCCTCCAGTTGACTAATCTGTGTTTCAAGTTCGGCAACTCTCCCTTGACGTTTCTTCTGAAACATTAAACAATAATATTAGAAAGAAAAATCATATGTAATCTCAACCATACACTCAATTCCACTTGGGCATTAATGAACGTGAAAATATCTTATGTAATAACTAAGAACAATTATATACCTACTACTTACTTTACATTAAACTTACATAAATGCATGTGATAAATATCACATTCTTTATCCACAGAAAAGAGGAAACTGGGAAATTTGACGGTAGTCAAAGGGTTATTTTTGGCAAAGCTACAGGACGCTGGAAGCTGTAAATTGAAGTTTTATTTGTGTAAAACGGTTTAACAAAAGTATTTATAACCGTTTAAAGTGTACAAAATGATATAGAACATAAAAAACTAAAAGTTAGAAGGTTCCTAAAAACACTAATTAAAGCCCTCCACTTGTGGTGGGACTTGTTTCTTTAGCGGGTTTTGATATATTTTTGGACTTTTGGTGATTAGAGATAGGAAATAACAAACACACAGTTTTGGTGATTTGCTTCTCGTTATCTACTTTAAGTTGAAGTATTGTCTTAATTTTAGGCTATACCATTGGGACTCAAGGAACATCATTTTTAATGTAAACACAGTTTTTTAATGTAAACTTACACCAAATATTGTGTTCTGAATAGTACAACATCAAATTTGATGCTATATTTTTCGTAACACCAATTTTGTTTGGTAAAGTTTCATGTGATATTTTGGTTATTAAAGTTAAAGTATTGATGCATAGTTAAATTAATTGTATAGCTATATTTTAAATGTGATAAGAACATCAAAATGTATTTAAGAATATAAAGCTTTTTAAAAACTTAAAACATGGTAACATATTTAATGAAAACTTAGTATTTACATATATATTACAATAAATAAAAGATGTATTTTTGAAAATCTAAATAAGTTAAAAACAATAACTTATATTTTGCACATTTTTGTGCTGAACATGATTGTCACTCTTAGAAACGATGTTATAGATGTTATTAAGGTCAAAATACTACTTTTGGAAAGCAACTTCAACACAATCTGAATTTTCATAAAAATCATTTGTTTGTCACTAAATACCCTCTCCCACCTCCCCACACAAACACACAAACAAACAAACACACACACAAAAACCCATAAAAAGTCATGAAGTTTTAGTAGTATGTTAGAAATATATATACCTCAGGTTCAAGTCCTTTTGGTGATATGCGATCAAGAGTTTTAGTACTTGTTGTTTTTGGTGTTCTAATACTTGTAGAAGAGTTTGCTTCAAGGCCACTTGTCTTGAGTTGTCGAACAACACGACCTGTGCTCTTTTGTCTAGTCTCTAAAGAAACAGATCGAGGAGAGATCTTCCGACCACCTTCAGAGCCAGAAGAACTCTTTACGCTGTAATAAGTATCAGCCAAAAACCATATATTACGAAGCAATTATAAAACACAAAAAGAGAGGGAAAATATGGACCAAAATAGGACAGAAAACATGCAAAAACTACTTAACCGAAGTAATTAGCAAAACTGGGTTCAATTATCGATGGAGGACCAAATGAATAATTGAAGGCCATTGAAGAGAGATATTGTTTATGGTACCTTGTTTTTGGAGTCTGCATTTGCTATCTTTAATGCCACCTTTTTCTATCCAAGATTCAACCAAAATGGGTGCTTTAAATTTAATTTACGTCCAACTTAAATGCTATCGCACCCACAAAACCTGCAACAATTTCAAGAAACCACAACAATGAAAGAGAATAAAGAATGGCTGTAGAGCACCAAGGTCCTTTAACTTTCTTCAGCCATGGGACCAGACTGTCGTTATGACGTCACAAAACTCACACTCTCAGTGAAATAATGAAAACCTGCAAGAAACTGCAAGTAATGAGAGAGAGAGAGAGAGAGAGAGAGAGAGAGAGAGAGAGAGAGAGAGAGAGAATCTAATGTGAAAGATGAAGTAAATGGATGTGATATGGTACTCTGAAACAGGGAAGAGAATATGTACCATGAATGAATATTAATGACATAAAAACAAAGAAAAATCAAGTTGTGCTGGTGTGTCATATATGCCAACTAATAACAATAATATCATCGAGTCAACTCTCAAACCGAATGCCTTGTATCCATAAGGTGTTAATATATTATTAACAAAACCAAAGATTTATTTGGGAATATAAAGAGAAGGACGTTTAAATAACGTTTTACATAAACCCATAAATTAATGGGGTCAAAAACATAAGCTTTAAAAAGACGAATATAATAATAAAGTACTTGATTAACATGAATACACACCTGCAAAACAGCAATTATTTAGAAGGAACCAGTGGGGATCGATATGAGATTTAATGAAAATAATAATGGAGGATCTGAGTAGCAGTTGAAGCATGTTTGGTGTTCCCCATTATTGTTTTCACGAGCGTCAGGCCAGAAGGAAGGTACATATCAAATTACCTATATCACCCCATATCTTAAACTGGGTGATGCTTGTTCAAATGGACACTTTGGTCATTTCAAAGACTCCGCCATTTTTGTCCGTGATTGAAGTTAGTAGATCGAAGACGTAGACCGGTGTTAGTTTGACTATCCGAAAACAGTTCACATACAGATCTCATGATCAATAAAGCTAAGTGGTTTACATCTGTAATGATGGATTAAAATTATGAAATAATTACCGATCGATCTAAATCTTAAAAACTTGGGAAAGAAGTTAATGGCTTTTTGATGAAGAAGATGACAATTCATCTAAAAGAATTGAAGGTGTGTGTATATAAAGATAAGTAGATAGAGATGGATACCTGCCAATTATTGCGAGACATCAAACTCATAACAATGACACAACGAAGCTATAAATTTGTGGGTACAAAAGGTCGAGAGGAAAGCCCTATAGTTTAGGGGTATACGGTTATACCTAGAAAGGATGTTTTTCATGAGTTATGTGTGAACTAATGTCACATCAAAGAAAGAAAAAACGTGGCTGTGAATTTTGAGTTGTTCTTATCTTCTTATGAAATTTTTGTTAAGATACATGGAATGGATAGAAAGTAGTGAACATCAACAAGAGTAAAGTAGTGTCCACCAAACTGAAACAAAGATTGGAATCAAAACGATGAAATTAATACTTCCACCAAACTTATTGTATCTTTTACTTGAAGGTTTCGTTTGTCCATGGGAGGTTGCTTACTAATTGAATATCTTTAACAAAACTGAAGATTGAAAACTATGTGAATGTTAGACTCAAATGTTGTTTGGTTTGCAGAGTTTAGAGGAATTTGAATTAATAAATACCTTTTCCAACACAATATATTGAAATTACTATAGTCTATCTCATCTTGGTTAGTTTGCACTCAACCAAGCCATGTCCAACACAATGTTGAAACCACAATGTTGCATTGAAGCAATGTATGTAACAAAATTTATTACTCTAAATTCCCCACACACATTCTTAAATTCTCTTATAATGGTCACATGAGTACCATCGAAATCAACTAATAAGTGTGAATCAACTGCATGAAAAATAAAGTCGTCGGCGAAATCTATATGACATGAATGAATAGTTTTTATTCGGATCAAATAATAAATTGCAAGCAAAAGTATAGAAAGTCATCCCCAAATCTATATGACATGAATAAATAGGTTGTATTCGAATCAAATAATAAATTAACACGTAGGAAATCCCTAATAAAATATCTAAAACAACACATACGGTTTCTCAAGCCTTTCATATAATAATTTGTAATGTGAAGGTCCATGTTTTTTTGTTGTTGCGCTTTCTGATTCCTCTTTTTAGGACAGTTGGTAGATATGCACACAAACTTGTTTCAAATGAAACAGAAGAAGGACTATTTGGTATTAATTTGTATAATATTTTATGTTTCCACACTTAAAACAAGTCACATCATCCTTACTCTTTAAGACTCTCTATTCTTTCCTTTCTCATCAAAAAATTTCTTCTTGTTCCCATTGTTGTCCGTTTTAAAGGGTCTTTGGCATAGCTTTTAAATCGATTTTTTTACTTTTATCTTTTTCTAAAAGTCAAAAAGATGTTTGGTAATTCTGATTTTTCCAACTTTTACAATAGAGAAAATGACATCTTTTTAAAAAGTCACATAATCGTGACTTTTCCAACTTTTACAAAAAAGACTTTTTGTCTTTCAAAAACTAAGCCAAACAAACACCCTCTTATTATCAATCTTTATCTTGTCACTATTATTCTGTATTAATCTATCTCTCATGATAAGGTATTTTTCAAACTTTCCTAGTTGTATAAATTGTTAAAAAGTAAAGAAGAGATTTCATCCAACATCCACAAATCTTATATTGTTTAAAGACAAAAAAATCAGAATGATTTCATAAACTTACAATATACCTCACTATATACAACACACTTACACTACTCTCAAGATTATACACTCAACCTAATCTAAAAGATCATTGGTTAAAGAGTATATTGATTACAAACCCCAGCTTTACAAGGAAGAAGAAGAGTAAAACGAAAGACAACAATGGTGTGTAAAACAAAAATATGAGTGAAAAAAATGAGTTTTACCACTGCTTCCTTGAATATATACTCGGGTTATCGGATCAATCCATGGACCACGGAATACCCGATGATCCACGTCTTTTACTTGTTAAGAATGAAGAAAACGAGCCGCAATCCAGTAGAATAACAACTACACACAATTTACATGTCATACACAATTCCACTTCAAGTTCAACTTAAGTAGAAACCAAGAATACAAAAAAGACAAAAACTACCCTTATATAAAAAAAAAATTTATCAATAAACAATTTCCAACAATAAAAATCAAAATTGAACATAAAATGTCAAGTTTTCAACATCCCCCTCAATCTCAGTTTTCATCAACACCAAAAATATTAGCCAAACCCATTTTATTTGATAAAAAAATTATGTTGTTTAACAATTAAAGATTTTATCAAAATATTAGCATTTTGATCAGAAGAACTGATCTTAACCATTTTTAACACACCATTAGAAAAATTTTCTCTAACAAAATGAAGACCATTTTCAAAATGTTTTGTTCGCTCCTGAAAAACTGGATTTAGAGTTAACTTAATTGTAGAATCATTATCACAGAAAACAAGAACATGAATTAAATCTTTAATTCCTAATTCAAATAAAATCTTCAAAATCTAAATTATTTCACAAGTAATTGACCCAAGTGCTCTATACTCGGATTCCATTGAAGGCCTAGAAACATTGGATTTTTTCTTACTATTCCAAGAAGCTAAACAATTATATTAAAATCAACCATATAACCAGTAACATATCTCTTATAGAGATACACTTACCCCAATCAACATCAACAAAACCTTACAACTCAAAACCATCCAATTTAACAATTGAAACACATTTTCCAGGAGCACCTTTTTTAATATCTCAACAATCTAAAAACAATTCTCGAATGTGACTTCCTAGGTTTATGCATGAATTGACTAAGAACTTGAACAACACAAGAAATGTTTGGCCTATTAATTGTAAGATAAATCAATTTACCAATAAGTTTCCGAAATTCAATCACATTTAACAAAATATCATAATTTTTAATTGAATCATCAGAATTTACAACTAAATTTGTCTCTAAAAGAATAGTAATAGGTTTGCATTCAAACATGTCACGCTCATACAACTACTCAATACAATATTCCATCTGATTTAAACACAAACCATTTTCAATAGTAACAACTTCAATTTCCAGAAAATACTTCAATAAACCGATATCTTTTATAAGAAACTGAGTTTTCAAAAAATCTTTAACCTTTTTAATTCACTTTCATGACTACCAGTTAAGATTATGTCATCAACATAAACAAGCAAAATAGTGACAGAGTTACCATTGTTCTTAATAAACAAAGAATAATCACTCACACTTTGCTTGAAACCAAATAAAAACAAGGAAGAAAAAAAACCATTCCACTTCTTTGGGCTTGTTTTAAGCCATACAAGGATTTAACTAACTAACAAACTCGAGTATCATTCTTCGTATAATAACTAGGAGGAAGACTCATATAAACATCTTCAGAAAGTTCACCATAAAAAAAACATTATTAATATCTAACTGACATATTGTAACGCTCGTACTTCTCGCTAAACATTAATAAGATGAGATAATAGTTAAGGTCAACCGTTGTAACCTATTTTAAATAACAATGAAGAATTATGTGAATATTATGTGTTTCATGATTATTATAATATAATAAAATAGGAAAAACCAGTCGAATCGTCCGTAAATCGTAAAAATAAGTGTGCAAATATATATATATATATATATATATATATATATATATATATATATATATATATATATATATATATAGAGAGAGAGAGAGAGAGAGAGAGAGAGAGAAATAAGTTAAAATAACAACAGTAAATAGTGTGAGAACGTAAAAGCACTAAGTTTATGTTATTATTCTATAATTAATGTTGTATGTGTGTATTGTTAAAGTAATTCTATATGAATATTAACGTTTGATTATTCACATATTCATTAGAATTTTATTATTCTATTATAAATTTATGTATGTGTATTTTTGTAGTAAAGTCTAATTTTAGTTTTAAAATGTGACTATTCATTTATTCATCGTTGAATAATGAAATAAACTTGTGGATACAAAATTCATTGCAGAATAATAACATAAAAATATTGTTTTTACGTTCTTACACTATTTACTGTTTTTATTTAAACTATCCCCTATATATATATATATATATATATATATATATATATATATATATATATATATATATATATATATATATATATATATATATATATATATATATATATATATTAAAAATCATATCCAATTCATACGAATTCGGATTTCTACGATATTTATATTTTCGGGATCGGTACAACGTGTACTTTATATATATATATATATATATATATATATATATATATATATATATATATATATAAAAGTCCGCCGCGCATAAGGAATATGTGATGTAAAAAGTTACGAAGAAAATTGTTGACTTTTAGCTAAAGTCACCAAAAAGAAAATCGTAGTAATCTTTAAAATATGAATTTTAAGAAAAAAATGTCAAAAACGGAGTACGTACTAGAGAATTATGATTTTAGCAAAATCATTTAATTATATAAAAATATCACAACAAGAAATATAAGTATTAGAGGTGACAATATTAGAGACGACGTGACTTATTAGTGACGACATGTGACAACACACACATGTGGCGTCGTTAAAAGCTTCATGTCGCCGCTAATGCGTCGTCTTTAATAGCACACATCGACGATCCGTGTGCTTTCGTCTAGAATCAATCTTGGTCGTTCACTTTTCATCCGATCGAATGGACAGGGTTCTTCCGTATGAATGAAATAGTGGCGACCCTAATAGAGACGTGGTCATCGATGCTACTAGTCACCAAAAAAGACGCAGGACTCGTTCCCTCCAACATGTCGCCTCAACTCCTAACCCGTCGCCGCTAAAGGGATCGCCCCTTTTACTCCAGTATCGTGTCTCATAACAGGTGACAACCCCATTTCATTCCTAATCCTACTCTCGGCGATTTTCCGGCGATTTATCACCACAACACCCCCTCTATTCGATTTTTAGGAAACCACCAATACCACAAAACCTCTCTTTTCTCCTTTCCAATTCACTCCTCCTCTCCCCCACTAGATTAGCCCGTTTTTCTGGCTGTGATAAGTTTTCTGACGAGAAAACTTGCTTTTCTCCGGCATCTGCAGCGAAGGTATGTGCTCCTTTTCCTCGTTTCTCTTTCAATTTGTTTTCTGTAACAAACTTGTATGGTAATTTGGTATTTTGGTGGTTTGGCAGCTTCTTCTCCGGTGAAACCACCTCATCTTCGGCGACAACACTTTTTCTCCGGCAACATCAAGAAATATAACCACACCACAACGATTTTCTAGGTTTATTTTATTTTCTTTTTCCGTTTTTAATGTGGTATATGAAATGTTGTGTATGTGTATTTGTATTTGTATGTGTATTTGTATATGAAATGTATATGAAATGTATATGTATGTATGAAAAAAATGTGTGTA